GTCCACATGCCTTAAAATTGTCAAGGTTGAGAAACACTGGTATAGGGTCTCCTGCTTGAGCAGGGGGCTGGACTAGAAGACCTCCAAGGTCCCTCCCAGCTCTATTCTGATGGACTGACTTAACAAATGTGGCGAGACAGGTCGTAAAAGGGGGCAAAACGTACTTAACCCACAAGGTCGCACTTAGCAACGGAAACGTTGGGCTCCCTCGTGGTCGTACGTTGAGAACTTCCCTGTATTCCACAGAATCGTAGAAACGGAGAGTTGGAAGGATCCCCAGCGATCCCACCTAAGCTACTGCACTGTGCAAAAGAGTCCCTGATCCTCACGGGGAAAGACCCGGCTTCTTCTCCGAAGCCTTCAGAGATGCCCACGACTTTTGTAGGCAGACTCTTCCGCCGTCGTCCAGGAAGTCCTTCCCTCTCTCCGCTTAACTCTCAGAAAGAGCTCCTCAGCTCTCAGTTCCCACCCACCCACCCACCCACCCACCCATCCCTGGCAGGATGGTTTCTCTACCCACCCACTCACCTCCCGCAGCCCTCTCTTTCTCCCTTCCGCTTCCCAGGGCCACTCACGTTTTATTTTCCCCGGTTGATGCGCAATTTTGTTTCCTCGCTGGCCTTTGTGGATCTTGCTAGGCTTATGGGAGAGTTTGCTCTTGGTTGGTGCAGCTGGTATGAAGACGGAGGGCTCTTGNTATTCATTTCACAACCGCGGGCAAAATTCGCTTATCAAATGTCTCACTTAGCAACAGAAAAGTTGGGCTCAATTGATCACATGGTTCTGGGACACTGTGACCGTCATAAATATGAATCAGTTGCCAAGCATCTGAATGTAAATCACAAGACCCTGGAGATGCTGCAACATTCCAGCTGATCAGCGCTTCTTCGGCTGTGGCTTGGGGGGGAGACTTTTTTCAGTGCCATTGTAACTTCGAACAGTCACTAAGCGAACTGTTGTAAGTCGAGGACTACCTGTACTTTATCACTTTTTTCCTTTTTCTTTTTTTTTGGAGGGGGGGCTGTCATCAAGTTTTGGACACCTTGCTAGGCGACTGGTGGTACCCGGATGTTGCCATATCCTAAAAGTGGCACAATGGGTGAAAAGGTTGAAAAGCCCTGCTTTAGACCCCCGAGAAGACGGCCGGCCTTACCTCCTCGTATCTCCACCACAGCGAACGTCTGAACCACCAGCAGGATGGTGTTGATGGCCACCACGCTACAGATGAAGAAGTCAAACAGGAAGGACTGGGTCAGCTCGAAGATGACCTTCCGCAAGTAAACAAGGCACGGGTAGATCTTCTGCCAGGAGCGAATCAGTATCTCTTTGAAGGTTCTCCGCCGGTAGCGATGGTGGTGACGGTGATGGGAAGACTTCCCCATGTCTAGGGGAGAAGAGAGAGAGCCACGTCAGATGGGACGGGGCAACTTGCCGCAGCCAATTGGCCGGGGGACAACCGGCGGTGGGATTCCTTGAGTTCTTTGGATTCTCCTTGACCACTTATTTCATCTTTCGTCTCGAAGAAAACCATGTCTCCGATGGCCAACTTCAGTAAGGCTTTGATGGACCGTGTGACTAATTTAAGAACTGCCGTGATTCACTGCTTGAGCAGGGGGCTGGACTAGAAGACCTCCAAGGTCCTTCCCAGCTCTCTTCTGATGGATTGACATGGTATAGGGCAGTGTTTCTCAACCTTGACAATTTTAAGGCATGTGCACTTCAACTCCCAGAATTCCACAGCCAGCATTGCTTAAAATTGTCAAGGTTGAGAAACACTGGTATAGGGTCTCCTGCTTGAGCAGGGGGCTGGACTAGAAGACCTCCAAGGTCCCTCCCAGCTCTATTCTGATGGACTGACTTAACAAATGTGGCGAGACAGGTCATAAAAGGGGGCAAAACGTACTTAACCCACGAGGTCGCACTTAGCAACGGAAACGTTGGGCTCCCTCGTGGTCGTAAGTTGAGAACTTCCCTGTATTCCACAGAATCGTAGAAACGGAGAGTTGGAAGGATCCCCAGCGATCCCACCTAAGCTACTGCATTGTGCAAAAGAGTCCCTGATCCTCACGGGGAAAGACCCGGCTTCTTCTCCGAAGCCTTCAGAGATGCCCACGACTTTTGTAGGCAGACTCTTCCGCCGTCGTCCAGGAAGTCCTTCCTCTCTCCGCTTAACTCTCAGCGGAGCTCCTCAGCTCTCAGTTCCCACCCACCCACCCACCCACCCATCCCTGGGCAGGATGGTTTCTCTACCCACCCACTCACCTCCCGCAGCCCTCTCTTTCTCCCTTCCGCTTCCCAGGGCCACTCACGTTTTATTTTCCCCGGTTGATGCGCAATTTTGTTTCCTCGCTGGCCTTTGTGGATCTTGCTAGGCTTATGGGAGAGTTTGCTCTTGGTTGGTGCAGCTGGTATGAAGACGGAGGGCTCTTGCTTCAGGTCAGCTGAGGTGCTGGGGCCTTGAGTAGCGGCCGGCTCCGGCTTCCCTTGAGTGAACATGGGCTGGTCCTGTTTCTCTATCGGGGAAGCTGAGGTTGGCACCATAAGATAATCCATGGTGCTGTTGTGGATACTTTCGCCCCTCCGACACGTAGACGCTTTAGCAAATTCCTCCTTCGCGTTGCAGCAAGTGGGGAGGGGGGGCTCCCACGGAAGGGAAGAGACGCCGGGCTTCCATGCAGAAGGCCAGACATTCTTTTGTGACGTCATAATAGGAAATGGAGGTAGCGACAGATTTTATCTTCCTGGGCTCCAAGATCACCGCAGACGGGGACTGCAGTCAAGAAATTAGAAGACGCTTGCTCCTGGGGAGGAAAGCTATGGCAAATCTAGACAGCGTACTCAAAAGCAGAGACATCACCCTGCCAACAAAAGTGCGTATGATCAAGGCCATGGTTTCCCCAGTTGCAATGTAGGGCTGTGAAAGTTGGACCATAAGAAAGTCCGAGCGCCAAAGAATGGAGGCCTTTGGACTCTGGTGCTGGAGAAGACTCCTGCGAGTCCCCTGGACTGCAAGGCGATCCAACCGGTCAGTCCTAGAGGAGATCAACCCCGACTGTTCTAGAAGGCCAGATCCTGAAGTTGAAATTCAAGTCCTTTGGCCACCTAATGAGAAGGAAGGACTCACTGGAGAAGAGCCTGATGCTGGGAAAGATGGAGGGCAAGAGAAGAAGGGGACAACAGAGAAGGAGGTGGCTGGAGGGAGTCCCTGAAGCAGGAGGCGTGAGCTTCAATGGACTCCAGAAGATGGTGGAGGACAGGAAGGCCAGGAGGAACGTTGTCCATGGGGTCGCGATGGGTCAGACAAGACTTCGCAACTAACAACAACAATAGGAGACCAAAAAGACAGTGGCAGCCCTTGACCCAAAGGTGCTTTTTCCAAAAGGCAATTGACACTTTCTTGGTGTTTTTTTTCTTTTCTTCGCTGGCAAACCTTTCGCTTCTCGTCCAAGAAGCTTCTTCGTTTCTACCTTCAGCCAACTTCTACAGTTCGAACTTAAATGAAACCTTTGCGAGGAACAACCCCCAAAAAACAACAACAAGAAAGTCCAGTTGGCTTTTGGAAAAGTACCTTGAGGACACTGGAGGGCATTTAAAAAGAGACCGGGTAGCCGTCTGTCTGGAATGCGATGGGGTCTCCAGTTTAGCAGGGGGTTAGACTAGAGGACCTCCGAGGTCCCTTCCCACCCTGTTATTCCGACTGTAGAACATTCTGACCACCGTGACCTCGGTGATTGAGAATCTCCATAGACTTGCAGCCATTGAGTCTCTGCAGCTAAGGAGCACTCCCCCCCCCCCAGGTACAGATGCTTGGAAAGTCATGATGGGCAACTAGGCAAAATTGCTGCCAGGCACCGGGGGGGGGGCACAAGTACCCATTGACCTGAATGCAGAGGGTGTTGTTTCCCACTGGGACCAGTTTTAGCCCCTCAAGGTAGAAGCATAAGGCTGGAAGTCTTCTAGTTCAGACATGTCAAACACAAGGCCCGGGGGCCGGATGCGGCCCGCGAAGTGGTTTCATGTGGCCCGTGAAGCCATCCTGGAAACAGTGAGGGAACGGCCCCCGCTGCCTTGGCCCTGGCCCAGGCCGGCCAGGAGCCAATGTACAATTTTGTGGTGGCCATCTATGCTAAAATGCATTCAGTCTTAGCTCCATAAGCCACCCCCCCCATGGCCTGAGAGGAACGGTGAGGCTCCTCCAGTGGACTATGCCTTGGCACTTGCCCCGGTCCCACCCTCTTCTGCCAGAGACCCTCAGATCTGTCCCACTCCTGCTCAGGCCCCCACAGGCCCCCTTGACGCGAACGATGTAGAGCTGGCCACGCCCACCCAGTAGGAGGCTAAAACATATAAGGAATGGTGGCTGGAATTGGGTATGTCTAGTTTAATGAAGAGAAGGACAAGGGGGGACATGATAGCAGTCTTCCAGTATCTCAGGGGCTGCCCCAAAGAAGAGGGTGTCAAGCTATTCTCCAAGGCGCCTGAAGGCAGGATAAGAAGCAACGGGTGGAAACTAACCAAGGAGAGAAGCAACCTAGAACTAAGGAGAAACTTCCTGACAGTGAGAACAATTAGCCAGTGGAACAACCTGCCTCCAGAAGCGGTGAATGCTCCAACACTGGAAGTTTTGAAGAAGAGACTGGACAGCCATTTGTCCGAAATGGTATAGGGTTTCCTGCCTAAGCAGGGGGTTGGACTAAATGACCTCCAAGGTCATTTCCAACTTTACTATTATTATTATTAACCGGTCCCTGGTGCCCAAAAGGTTGGGGACCTCGGGGCCAGAAGACAAGACTCTGGAACTGGCCTAGGGATAAAAGATGCAGCTCTTGGGAACCTGTCTGCAGGCTCCCTAATGCTTCTCCCCATCAGGGATATAAAGGCAGGCTGGGCTCTGCTGCTTCTCAACGTTAGATTTATTTTTAGATGGTCTAGGATTACAGGAGGCAGGGCCAGCTGTTGGCCCAGATGTGCTGGCTTCCTCTAGGCAGTCTATCTTCCTTTCAGATTGATTTGGGGAACTCTTCTACGGACTCGGTGCTCGGATACCTGAAAACACAAACGTCACAGGTTGCAGCTCCCAGGGACAAGGCAGTCCTCAACTTACGACCACCACCGACGCACCCGTTTTACGACATTTCTTGCCACCGTTGTTGTTAAGTCAGTCCCTGAAGCCGTGAAGTTTAGTAACCCGGGTGGTTAAGTCAATCTGGCTTCTCCCATTGGCTTTGCTCGTCAGAAGGTCGACCCAAAAAAAAAAAAAGGGGGGGTGGGGGGTGAGGGATCGCGTGACCCTTGGGACACAGCCACCGTCCTAAGTATGAAGCAGTCGGCAAGCGTCTGGATTTCGATCACGTGACCACGGGGATGCTGCAAAGGCTGCAACTGTGCAAAATGGTCCCAAGGAACCTTAACCAGCGCCGTGGTAACTTGGAACAGTCCCTAAATGAACTGTTGCAAATCGAGGACTACCTGTATTGGAGAAAGGACCCCTGTTTTAAAGGTTCCCAGGCAATAACTTGTGGGTTCCTCCATTTCTCTTTTTTAAAAAAATTGAGCGCTTTGAAGCACACACACACACACACACACACACACACACACACACACACACACATATATACACACACAAGAACATGAGGAGAGCCCTGCCTTAGAATAAAAGGAAAAGTGGGGACAAATATTTTCAGCCTTGCCAGATCCTGTTCATTAACCTTACAATAAAGATAAGAGCAAGTTCTCCTGATTGGGTTTCTTGTCTGGACTACCTCGCAGGGCTGTACCCCGCCCCGCCGTTCTAGCAGCCTTACATGTCTTTGACGCCATATTTGCCGAAAGACTGCCGAGCAGCATGCTTCCACAGCATTTCTTCATCGATGCCCAGGGCGGCCAACACTTTGGAGAAACGCCGCTCCACTGCCTGGCGGGCATTTGTCTAGAGGAGAAAAGACGTTTCATTACCCAACTAGGCAACATCATCAGTGTTAGAAGGGAATGGAGTCGGGAGGAGGAGGAGGAGGAGGAGGAGGAGGAGGAGGAGAAATAACTATGGGGTCCTTGGTGCTCTCTGAGCTTGGTGGTTTTCTTGCAGACATTTCATGACCCAACCTGGTAACATCATCAACGCTAGCAGGGAGTGCGATTTGCTCTCTGTTTATATACGCTGGCTGGCCCTGCCGGCGTTAGTGGGAGGGCTGTTTTCTTCTACCTAGAAGAGCCTGCCTAGACAACGTGCCCATCAACGCTGGCAGGGCAAGCTATTGTATGCAAACAGGGAGAAAACCCCACACTCCTTCGCACTGATGGTGTTACCCAGTCAGAGAATGAAATGTCTACCAGGAAACAAGCAAGCTCAGAGAACACCCAGAACCTCCCAGTTCAACAAATATCCTCTTCTAGGGCTACAGATCCTCCCTGGATTGTCACCATGGCAGGGTTTTGCCCAGAGAAGCAGGGCTGACTCTAACTCCACCGCTGGCCCCCCCAGGAAGTCTGCTCCTGCACCACACACCTGCATAACTCTCTCAAACAGATACGGGCGGCTCTCCACACGATCTTGGATCTCCTGCAGCTGGATCATGTATTCCTCCATGCGCTGTTTCTCTTGCCTCCTACATAGGACACGGAGAGAAGGGGAGGGAGCACCAAGAAAAGTCTCCAGTCTGAAAAGGGGGTTTTTTTGCACGCAGCATCAGGCCAGAACTAGATCAGGCCACTGTAATCTAGATCCAATTATTTAGTATTAAGCATTATTAAGCATCCAGGAACAACTTAAAATCCATTAACCAGGTTTGGATGCTTTTAAACGAGGTTAAAAAAAGAAAAGAAAAGAAAATCACGAGATTGCATGACGAGTGGCGTATAAATTTAATAAGTAACTATAAAGTCATATTTGGTGGGACGGGAGGCTAGATAAATCAGATGAAAAAGTGAATACAGATTAGGCATACAGGTGAATCGTGCGGTCGATAAGCAAATCCAGCTTTCCCAGTTGTGGATGTTGGCTGGGAAGGTCACAAAGAGCGATCACGTGACTCTGGGATGTTGCAACCAACGAAAATACATGCCTGCCGTGGGGATGCTGTGACGGTTATAAGTCTGAGGAATAGTTGTTTTTCGAGTGCCGTTGTAACTTTGAACAGCCGTTAAACCAAAGATTTATGTCAAAGGCCAGCTGTAACGTCACAATTGCCACTAATATAACGTCACAATTGCCACCAAACCATGGCTTATTCAACAAAGCTTACAAATTTTATTTATAAATTTTATTGCGAGAGGCTCAGAGTCTGGTATGCGAGATGGGCAGCTATATAAATCCAGTAAATTAATAAATGTTTTAAAAACGTTTTGATGTTTTCAAGGTGATGCATGAGCCTCCAATCCCTGTCATTAACACAGGATAATTTCTCTGACAGACCGAGCCCATTTTTTCTTTCTTTCTTTAGCTTCACAGACCTATTCCTATAGGCCAGGGGTAGGCAACCTTGGCTCTTTTATGACTCGTGGACTTCAACTCCCAGAATTCCTCAGCCAGCATGAGGGAAACTTTGGCCCCTTCATGACTCATGGACTTCAATTCCCAGAATTCCTAAGCCAGCATGGCTCAGCTTGGAAACCTCTCCCTTTCCCCTCAGCATGGCTGGCTCAGGAATTCTGGGAGTCGAAGTCCACGCGTCATAAAAGAGCCAAGGTTGCCTACCCCTGCTATAGGTGTTTGGCAACCAGTTGACCGCTCCATTTTGGATCTGAGCTAATTTTTCAATTTCTCCTCCTAGCTTCCCTGCTGGGATCTCTTGGTGGTCTCCCATCCCGGTGCCAAAATAAGCATCTTGATCCAGTTAGTATCAGGTGTCTTGGAGTTGGGTGGGGTGCGGTGGGGTGGGAGTAAAGCTACTCACCTGAGTTCTTCCCGCCTTCTCTGGACAGACGCGGAGGACCGTCCTTTATTCTGGTAAGTCGCCAGGCATTTGGCGACTTCCCGCTGCATGTGTTGCGCCTTCAATCTGCGCAGCTCAGCCCGGCGTTTCTCCTGCTGCTCTCGACGTTCCCACTCCAGCAAAAGCAACCTAGCCAAAGAGACCGGAGTTGACACCACAGGGAAATGCTCCAAGAATGGAACGAAGACAGGAGATGCTGATCCCTGTGGTCCTCAACGTACGACTATTCGTTTTGCAAATAAGTCAGTTTGGTCCACGTGGTTAAGGCACTAGACTAGACAGCGGGAGAGTTCAAGTCCCACTTTAGCCATGCATGCCAGTTGGGGAATTTTGGACCAATCACCAGGAGACTGTGAGTTCTAGTCCTGCCTTAGGCATGAAAGCCAGCTGGGTGACTTGGGCCAATCACCAGAGACGGTGAGTTCTAGTCCCACCTTAGGCATGAAAGCCAGCTAAGTGACTCTGGGCCAATCACTAGGAGACGGTGAGTTCTAGTCCTGCCTTAGGCACGAAAGCCAGCTGGATGACTTGGGCCAATCACCAGGAGACGGTGAGTTCTAGTCCCACCTCAGGCATGAAAACTGGCCGGATGACTTTGGGAATATTACCAGGAGAGAGTGAGTTCTAGTTCCACCTTAGACGGCTGGGTGACTTTGAGCCAGTCCCTCTCTCTCAGCCCAACCCACCTCACAGGGTGATTGTGGTAAGGAAAACAGGAGGAGGACGGCGTCTTGAATACTTTCACCACCTTGAGTTATTTGTAAAAATGATAAAGGCTGGATAAAAACACATAAGCAACAAAAATGATCAGGGGACTGGAAGCTAAAACATATAAGGAACGGTTGCTGGAATTGGGTATGTCCAGTTTAACGAAGAGAAGGACCAGGGGGGACATGATAGCAGCGTTCCAGTATCTCAGGGGTTGCCCCAAAGAAGAGGGAGTCAAGCTATTCTCCAAAGTGCCTGATCAAGGAGAGAAGCAACCTGGAACTAAGGAGAAATTTTCTGACAGTTAGAACAATTAACCAGTGGAACAACCTGCCTCCAGAAGCGGTGAGTGCTCCAACACTGGAAGTTTTTAAGAAGAGACTGGACAGCCATTTGTCTGAAATGGTATAGGGTTTCCTGCCTGAGCAGGGGGTTGGACTAGATGACCTCCAAGATCCCTTCCAACTTTATTATTATTGTTGTTGTTGTTTCTGCTGCTGCTGTTGTTGTTGTTATTATTATTATTGTTGTTGTTGTTGTTGTTATTATTATTATTATTTCCTTCAAAGTTCAACAACTCTGAAAAAAAAATGACTGGCTTCTAAAGTTTGTTCAATAAGGAGAAACATTTTAGTTCTCAGCTTCAAGCAGATTTCTCTCTAAGTTCTTCAGCTGACAGGTTGGCAAGTTTGTAAGTTTTCACTGATGTATTTGTATTCCTCTGGTACCCCAGTGATTTTTTTGCGGGGGGAACCCTGAAAGCAACCTGCACACACCCACCTGTTGGCTTCCTGTCTTTTATCCGCTGTCTTGGTGGACATCACCTGAGGAGCCATGGACGGTTCAAAATCGGGACAAGACTGGGCCCTCCAGTATATCCCCCAAAGCCGCCGGAAGTCTTGAAATAAATCTCCCTGGTCTTTCTTTTCCTCGTCTTCCGAAAGAGGCTGAGAGTGACTGGAATGAAGGTGGAACGGCTTGCAGATGGTCAGTTTTCCTGGAAAAGGTAGAGAAAGCAGAAGTACAGGTGGTCCTCAACTTACAAGAACTCCTTTAGCCACCGCTTGAAGTTACGGCGGCACTGAAGAGACTGAAGAAAGTGATGAGAAATAGAATATATTTGTGAAATAAAGTAAGAATGTATTTAAGTAAACCATATGTGTATTTTAGATATGACAACTATTTTGCAATGAAATAAGGGAAATTTGGGTTACCCGAAATCTAAATATTATAGATGTTAAAGGCTAAATTGGAACACTGTAATTGAAATTAGGTAAACTTTAAAAACAGGACATGGATAGGTATAAGTAAAAAATATATTGATAAACGCCTTAACTGATTGAGTTATAATTAGAAATGTATTAATTTGAATGTGATATAATAATCAAGGGAAATAGAGAGGGAATTTTGGATGATGTAACCTGAGACATGTACTATTACCCAATCACCACGTTGCTTCCTAAATACTTGGATGTAAAACTGGAAAATTAATCAAACTTGTTTAAAAAAAGAAAAAGAAAGAAAGTGACTGAGGACCGTTTTTCACACTTGCGACCGTGGCAGCACCCCCAGGATCACGGGATCCAAATTCGGATGCTTGGCAACCGGCACGTATTTATCACCGTTAGGATGTCTCGGGATCGGGTGATCACCGTTTGTCAACTTTGCGGCCGACTTCTGACAAACAAAGTCAACGAAGGAGCCGGATTCCCTTAACGATCCCACAGCTGAAGTGATTCACTTGCCGACGGTGGCAAAAAAAGGTTGTAAAATGGGGCGCGCCCCACTTAGCAACTGTCTTGCTTAGCAATGGAAATTTGGGGCTTGATCGCGGCCGTGAGTCGAGGGCTATTTGTATACTAGGAGCCCCGGTGGGGCAGTGGTTAGAATGCAGTATTGCAGGCTACACTCTGACCGCTGCCAGTAGTTTGATCCTGACCGGCTCAAGGTTGACTCAGACTTCCATCCTTCCGAGGTCGGTAAAATGAGGACCCAGATTGTTAGGGGCAACAGGCTGACTCTGTAAACCGCTTAGAGAGGGGCTGTAAAGCACTGTGAAGCAAGTATATAAGTCTGTTATTGCTATTCTATTCTAATTCTATTCCATTCCATTCCATTCCATTCTGTTCTGTTCTGTTCTATTCTATTCCCATTCTCTATTCTATTCTATTCTATTCTATTCCCATTCTCTATTCTATTCTATTCTATTCTATTCTATTCTATTCTATTC